GGGGGGGGGGGGGGCTGTACCAAGTACACGCTTGCAAGCGAGAAAGAATTAACTTTTGATTCTTTACGCTTTTTAAGCGTCGCTTGAAATCTCAGGCGCCATAAAGTGGGCGTGCTTTTTGTGCGCAACAAGCAACTTTTGAACAACATTCCAAGCGCTTGTTGTACCAACGCGCTCACTTTTATCGCGAGCAAGCGTTCTCTTTGTGCTCCGCTTAACGTCGGGTCCCTGGCGGGGTTTGAGCCCTGGACTTTCGGTTGCAAACCCAACTGCCTAACCATTTGACCACCGGCGCCACTATATGGTCGTTAAGCACAAGGGGCTATCATCCCGAAACATGCTGTTTTGAGAAAATCGAAGGTAAAGTTTTTACCCCTTGTCCAGTTCTTTAAAAGAGAGGGGGAGTATAACCAAACAATATACATACATGTACCAAAGAAACCAAACTTCTCCTATAGGTAGGGCAATGCCCACTTTCGGAGTAGGTATGTAAAGTTTCCTGGAAACCTCGAAATCTGGGTTAGCTCACTTGTCCTTGAAAGCGACCATATCACCAATAGTTTTCTTTCGAGATGACACGCGTATGAAGCAATCTTGTTAAAAAGAAAAGTATAGGCACCTATTTCGAACAACTTGACCTAGTGTGCGACATCCAAGGTCACTGTGGGACTGCAGCGTAGCTTTGTCTGACAGTACAGGAACGAAAAACAGCGGTCTGGGGTCGTTGTAATGCTCAAAGACATGGAAAGGAGGGATAGGGGAGAGGCGGACGGACTTCATTACTTTTGCCCCAATTTCCCAACTTGAATACTTGAATATGATTATGCGCTCGATATACCTTCTACTCATTTGCTTTCTTGCCTCTGATCTTTGTTTGTTTTGCTAAGATTGTCGTGTCTTGCTCAAGGACACAACCCAAATGACCACCCATGTAAGGGCGAGGACAGAGAGGCCACCCAATGTTTCGGCGTATCGGTGACACATTCGCTCGGCGCCGACCTTTCCGAGGGTAGAACATATTTTCAGCGCGTGTAGGCTGTTCCTCGGAACTAGAACTAGATTTGACAAGTTGGGCGTTACTGTAAGTGTCATGTTGTGAATGACTGTCGTGTTGTTAATTCCAACATGCTTTCTTCCAAAAATAAAGAAAAAAAGAATTGGCATGCACATGCTGCTTTTTAAAATTTGTTTTTACCTCTATGTAGATTTGCTTAAAATGTATCTCTTATCCCATACGGGGGACCGTTTGCATACAGAGGAAACCAAGGCACTGTTCACGTTTAAATATTAACAAAATATGTGAACTGTGTTTCTTAAACAAACACACACGCACGCACACACACACTTCTCAACTCATACAATCTGGATTTTAAAAACCCATTATTACTTATTTTTTAAAATACTTCACAAACTCAAATTTTGCCCGGCAAACCTGTAGAATTTGGATCGCTGATTTCAAATATCTAATCAGATTTTGTCTACGACGTTTTCTTGTTGAGATAAATGGTCAGTTGAAGAAGGCCCCAGTCCAGTCCGGTGACGTCACACATCCGGCGACAGCTCACCGACAGGGCACTCCTTTGCACCGAGCAGTGGCTTTCGGTGAGTAGGAATCAACATTTCATTCCTATAAAATAAGTCGCCACCGATGCCGCAGAGAGTAGGCCGTGTCTCTGTGCGCCGGTAGAAATTGTATAGATGGATTCCTATAACTTACGACGCCTAGTGGTTATACGGGGGTGCCCACTACAGATAGGATCGTCTCAAAAATGTGTTTGTTTTCAGTTTCAGGCGATCAAGTCGGGCGATCGGCCTGATCCAGCCGTAGTGGGCACCCCGTATTAGGCGACAGAAATCGGCCGCCTTTATGATGTTCTCCCACTAATGGTGTGACATTGTGTACATGTATTAATGTATGTAGGGGAGAGCGGGGAGGCCTCGGACACGTCAATTCTCGCTAAACTGTTTATAGTACACATTTTGTCGCTGGATCACAATGTGTCATTTGAGGTTTAGCTCGCTGTGTTTTTGCACCACACTAAGTGACTAAGCGGAATCTTGCATCTGCTGTGAACAAAATGTTTTTGACAAGGGGTAAAAATGTACGTTTTCACACATCAGTTTGTGAGGCTCACACATCACAATAGTGCACCAACGCTTTCATTATGGAGGTAGAAGTAGAATCGTCCTCCCCTCCCACATCCACTCAACCCACCTCCATCTCTTTTGCACTGCTCGACTCCGTGGGCGACATAGAAGTCGTTAATCTCTTACTCTTCAGTTAATCCAAGTGTGCGCTCATAGAAGTAGCAAAAAAGGTACTACCAAGAGGAAATGTGTTTATAGTATAAAGATCTGTTCCTGCCTAAAGAAAACATGCTTTGCCGACAGTGGGAACAAAAGAAACAAAGAAAGCAGGGAAATACATTTTAAAATGTTTAATGAACTTCCTTTTATCTTTTTTTATTCAAAGATATTCTATTGAGCGTTCAGAAAACAAAAAACGTAGGTCATCACCGCTTGTATGACTAGTTCCGTCTCAATCAAGGGGTCGGATCTTCATTTCAGTAAAAGTCGCCGAATCGTACTGGCCGGTGGTGGTGCCCCATACCAAGCCCTCTCCGTATTCCTGACTTCCCCATTTGCCGTTGAGGTTGGAGTTGTGGCAGGTCTTGTACCACCAAGCACCGTGGTACTCTACGGCGCAGTTGTCCGAACTTTTCGCATCGTTGTCGCGGTCTTTGGTTGTGAAAGGCTGGTCATTGTGGTAGGAGAGTCCATTAGATGAATTACCCGAATATCCTGATACCCGGATTCTGTAGTTTTCCGCTTCTCCAAAGAGAGTGAAGTTATCGTAGTTAGCATAATAGTCCTGTCCGTTGAATGAGATATCAACCCTCAGTTCGTACCGTCTCTGTTAAATTCAAAGCCAAAAACGACCAAAATGAATATCAATTACTGTTTTAACCTAACACAAATCTGTTGGTTTTAGTAGAGGTTTTACGGCCCTCGCAACTGCATAAAGTCACATGAGCACCAAGGTGCGGATGTGAACAGATGTCTTTACAGGGAATCATAACTCTGCTCACCTCTCTTAGCTTTTACACCACAAAGTCTGCTTCGATTATCGAGGCACCCCTGAAATAACGGGTCACAAGAGAGTGACAAACACAAGGAAGTAAGAGGGAAAATGACGATAGTAAGGATTAAGAAAAAGTAGTTCCCTGTAGCATTTTAGGCACAGTTATGAGCACGACAGTGTTGAATCAGCCCATTTACAATTCTACTGTGCAGAAGAGAAAGTTAATGTCCCCCCTTTGGGAATGGCCTAAAGAGACTTTAGTCAGTGGCACCGCCCTGCAAGGGGGGGGGGGGGAGAGACCAATCTCCAACACTGGGCAATTCACAGGAGACAAAAAAAACCTTCTCGTTCATTCATTAATTTACCTTTGCCCTACGACACTTTGTATGGCACTCCTGCAGGCCAGCAACAAAGCAATTTAAAGAAAATCTTGATCCAGAAATCAAAACGTTCTTTTCTTTGGCCCAATATTAAAAACCCCTCTTTGGATGCATACACATGATCATTGAAACAACAACGAGTGATTTACAGTAACTTTACAAAAAAAATTGCTCATTTTGAAACAGAGACACCATCCTGCCCCCAAGATCAGTATAAGCTTGTAGATTTCATCCCCCGGGTTTCAAGAAGTCTCCATGTGTTCCACGTGCTTCACGTGAGAATTGGAAATTACTCACCCCGTCTCTTGGATCGTGTTTCTAAAGCGAACGTTAAAAAGTAGTGTTACGGAAAATACGTCAACTTTTAACTGTTTTAGGCGTATGCTGTAAATCTCCTGGGCTTATATCAAAGAAACCGTTTCGGAACCTTAGTTTGCAGTGACTTTTATGAATGGCCTTTAAATTCTGTTGGTCATCCAATTTTTTGACTCGTGCGTTTGCAGAGATATTAAACAGGGAAATTTAGTTTTGAAAGTGAGCAAGCTATAGTAATAATAATAATAATGATGATAATAATAATAATAACAATAACAATAAGAAGAAGAAGAAGAAACATCTTGATTGTCCAGATCCTGGCACATTGGTTTGGTGTTTCACCATGTGCACACACACACACACACACACACACACACACACACACACACACACACACACATGCATACACACGTAGGCTTACAATCACATGCATAATATAAATGAGCATCAATATAAACAATAATAATCTTAAGCCAGATACAAACTCAATGTAATTTTGATGCATGCTCTGGGGTCGTAAGAATACTTATACAAGATGGTTAAGATGGAAGTATTTTGATATTCTCGTTCATTCATTAATTTACCTTTGCCCTACGACACTTTGCGTGGCACTCCTGCAGGCCAGCAACAAAGCAATTTAAAGAAAATTTTGATCCAGAAATCAAAACGTTCTTTTCTTTGGCCCAATATTAAAAATCCCTCTTCGGATGCATACACATGATCATTGAAACAACAACAAGTGATTTACAGTAACTTTGCAAAAAAAAATTGCTCATTTTGAAACAGAGACACCATCCTGCCCCCAAGATCAGTATAAGCTTGTAGATTTCATCCCCCGGGTTTCAAGAAGTCTCCATGTGTTCCACGAGCTTCACGTGAGAATTGGAAATTACTCACCCCATCTCTTGGATCGTGTTTCTAAGGCGAACGTTAAAAAGTGGTGTTACGGAAAATTTGTCAACTTTTAACTGTTTTAGAGCTCCAACACAGTGCGTCCAGCATCAGACCAGCAACAGCACAGCAACAGCAAAACGACGGGTCAAAATTTTAGGTAATATAGATAGCACTACGCCTAACGGAGTGGCGCCGTTTTGTCCGACCAGCGTGAACCCTGCATGAACCCAGCGTTCGCCCGTCGTTTTGCTGGTAATTTCATTTTAGTGCGACACTAAAATTCAACCAGCACGGACCAGACAAGCAAGATGGAGGCAGAAGTATTGATTGAAGCAGTGAGAAAAAGAGAAGTCCTATTTGACAAAAGTAATGAGAATTATTCAAATAGAGTTGTAATAAACCAACAATGGATTGAAGTCGGCGAGGAAGTCGGAATTGATGGTGAGTAATAATATTTATTAAAATCTTATCTAATTCAATTATCGAGGTTAAATCCCCCCCCCCCCACCTCTCTCTCTCTCTCTCTCTCTCTCTCTCTCTCTCTCTCTCTCTCTCTCTCTCTCTCTGTCCCTCTCTCCCCTCCCTCTCTCTCTCCCCCTCTCTCCTCCTTTCTCTCTCTCCTCTCTCTCTCTAATAATAATTAATAATAATAGTGATAATAATAATATTAATAATAATAATTAATAATAATAATAGTGATAATAATAATAATAAAATAATAATAATAATAATGATAATAATAATAATAATAATGATAATAATAATAATAATAATGATAATAATAATGATAATAATAATAATAATAATAATAATAATAATAATAATAATAATAATAATAATGATAATAATAATGATAATAATAATAATAATAATAATAATAATAATAATAATAATAATAATAATAATAATAATAATAATAATAATAATAATAATAACATTGGACTATACTGGATCCAGTTTCGGCCATTGAGACCTCATCAGTAGCCCTGTATAAATTGTCTTGCGACAAGGGAAATAAGTACCAGCCCAGAGTGCTTTGGATTGACCCAGCTGGGATTCGAACCCACGACTTCCCACATCGCAAGCGAACGCTCTACCACTTGAGCTAACATTGTTGTTTGACTCAAAACAATAATAATA